TTTTTTTTTTTTTTTTTTTTTTTTTGCGGTACACGGGCCTCTCACTGCTGCGGCCTCTCCCACTGCGGAGCACGGGCTCCAGAAGCGCAGGCTCAGCGGCCATGGCTCACGGGCCCAGCCGCTCTGCGGCATGTGGGATCTTCGCGGACCGGGGCACAAACCTGTGTCCCCTGCATCGGCAGGCGGACTCTCAACCACTGTGCCACCAGGGAAGCCCTCAAATGTTCATTCTTTCTCTCTTCTTCCCTCTTGTCCTTCTGTCCCTTTTTCTTTCTTTGTGCCTTCTTTCATCCTTCCCTTTAATTTCAGGTGTTTGATTAGCTCCCATGGAAAATAGCCAGGGCCTCAGCAAACCACCAAAGAAGCTGAGTGATTTCTTCTCCAGTTCCCATGAGCACACATGTCAACTTTGAAATCCAGACTCGGAAACTCTCTCAAGGTGGGAGGCGCTGGTTGGAACCTACCTGCTTAGCAAAGCAGACTTTTCCATAAGCTTCAATGAAGTTATTTTGAAAGAGAAACCTGTCTAGACAGAGCATAATTAAACATAGCATCTTGTTCTTTTGTTAAGTAGACCACAAGGTAAAATTCTTTGTTGAGTCTAATACATAACGTATAATACTATTGGAAAATTAGAGATAGGAAGGTCAAAATTATAGCATGGGTTTGTGGGTCAGCGGGAGTGCTGGTTAATTTCGTAATGAAGCATGTAGGGGCAACCATAGTCTATAATGGAATGAAGTGTCAGAAAAGATGAAAGAAACCAAGCCTCAGTTCCAATCTCTATCAGCGTTTGCATGAGCAGCCTTAAGGACGTTGACCTCTGTAAGAACTCGCCTGTAGAATTCTTAGTATTTTGGTTTAAGAGTAACTCAGCAATGCTGTCTGGTCCTATCCCCCCAGAGTGACTGCTGACACAGGGCCTCAATTGTCTGACTTGAAAACTTACTGATAATTACCATTGTTAAAATGTTCAAGGCAAATGATTGAACTGGGAATAAAACAGCTGTATTAGTTTGCTGGGGCTGCTGTAACAAGTACTGCACACCGGGGACCTGAAACAACAGAAATGTTCCGTCTCATGGTTCTCGAGGCCAGAGGTCTGAGGTCAAGGCATCAGCAGGGTGGGTTCCATCTGAGGGCTGAGAGGGAGACTCTGTTCCAGAACTTTCTCCTGGTTTCTGGCAGTTTCGGGCTTTCCTTGACTTGTAGATAGCATGTCTCCTGTGTCTTCACATTTTTTTCTCTCTGTGTTTGTTTTCTCTCTCTGTGTCCAAATGTCCCTCTTTTTTTATAAGGACAACAGCTATATTGGATCAGGACCCACCCTAATGACCTCATCCTAACTTGATCATCTGCAAGGACCCTGTTGCCAAGTAAGGTCACATCATAGGTACAGGGGGCTAGGACTTCAATGTCCTTTGAGGGGACATAATGCAGCCTATAACAATAGCCATTTGTTTTCATACTCACATGTTCACCACTTGTTATCCTACTTTGAACTGGAAATGCTCACTGTGTGTCCATTTCAAAATTCTCACTAAATTCTCTTCAATAGTGCTTTAACTACCTCAGAATTGAGGAGCTTACATGCCAAAAAGGAGACACAATTTCCCTTTTTTGACCACTTGGAGAATGAGCCTTTCTCAGGGTGCGACCCAGGCCATATGGAAAAGACTGAGGTCCCAGCCCATTCTCTCATCATGGAACGAGGGTATGGGTTGCAGCCTAGCCACTGTCCTTCCTTTGGAAATTCACCAAAAGCTGGGGATGAAACCTGACTGGCCTGAACTCTGTTATATTAAAGCAGTGCTTTGTCTTTCGCATAAGTGACAGGATAGTTCAGTATCCCATGAAATGAATGAGCTGGCGGTGAAATTGAATCTAGTGTAAATTATGGCGCTATGTAAAATCCAACACAACCTATCGTAGTGTTGGTCCCATCCTACTAATATCAAAAAACTAGGATTCTACTTTCACAGTGAAGGATTTTTTCTCTAATTTTTGTCCACAGGTTTATAACATTAAATATGCAAAAAAAAGTTATTTTTCTATTGCCTTTAAACTAAGGTCTTCATGATTTAAATATAAGTCCCAGTCTCCACGTCAAAAATGTGGTGAACATATAAATGTGTTCATCAAAAATATCAAATAAAATAAGGGGCAAATCCTATGACCATGGACCCAAAAAGTAACAGTAGTTTTCCCTTCAGGCCATCAGATTCACTGAGCCCTGTAATTCGGGGCCTTCCTTCTTTAAGAATTCATCCTGGTTTGCTCTTGAACTGTCGATTTCTATCCTAGGAACCTAGTTGTCCATGCCCTCTACCTCAAATTGTTCATATTCACTGAGGACAGCAAAGCAGAGCAATTGAATGCACTGACACGGGGTCCCAAAAGACCATAGTCTGAAACCAGGCTCTGCCAGGAGCTCGTTATGTGACCTGCCTCTCAAGCCCTAGTCTCCTCACCTGTAAGATGGAGAAGCTATGACCATCATCACAGTGTGGTTGTGGGAATTCAAGCATCTAGTGAACCTGGCACATGGTAAGTGCTTAGAAAATGTTAGCTATTATTATTATTAATATTATTACTAATTGCTGTCAATACTTTACCATTTAGATGTCTATTATCCACTGTTTGTTTATAATCATATCACAAATGTATTTCTTTTTCTGTAACGAATGAGGCATTAGGGCTCATTTAGTTGACCATTCTCACTTTTTTTTTCAATTTAATTTAATTTTTATTTTATTTTGGAGTATAGTTGATTTACAATGTCATTTTAATATCAGGTGTATTGCAAAGTGATTCAGTTTTACATATACATATATCCATTTTTTTCAGATTCTTTCCCATATAGGTCATTACAGAGTATTGAGTAGAGTTCCCTGTGCAGAGGTTAATGTGTCCACACAGCTAGCTACCAGCAGAGCCAGGCCTAGGACCTAGGACTTGGGCTCCATAAATCTCTAACCCCTAACTTGACCCTAGTACAAGGATGCCTTTCTCTCAAGTCCTGAGAATCAGAGAATTGATGGTCACCTTGATAAAATAAAATTATAGACTCAGCAAGGATGGAAACCATTTCATAGTTGGAGCCCCTGTTCTCTCCATCACTGCTGGCACTGGGGTGAATGAGGACCCCTTCCTGTTTTGCTAAAGCTTTGAAATACCCTTATGGGAATGCAGAAGCCACCCCCAGGGCTTTTTGATGTCAACAGTGCACCAGTAAAAATGGAAATGTTGCAAAAACACCACCATTTAACATTTTCTGGAATCAATTTCTTCCCTAATAGTCATTATGAATCTTTAAAAATGTAAAATAGCATGACCTTCTCTTCTGGTAGAGTAGACACTGTCTACTCTACCAGAAGAGTATTCTTATACTGTATAGAGTAAAGCCCTGACTTTCTTCTCCAGAAACTCAATATATAGATTGTGATATGTTTGCTAGTTCTAAGTCACCAAGCATTTAATATACAGGTCAAGATCCCACCAGAGACAGCTCACATCCCCGTGACCTGAGGTCTTGGTGAACAAGCACCCTCCCACTTGCTAAAGGCTTTTCTTTTTGCTCACCATGCTGGCGCCTCTCCTGGGGTCTTGTATTCCTCTTTCCCTCATTGATTCCCAATGTACCCTCAGCCTTCCCATTTCCAAGAGACAGCAGCCCTACCGCGTGCTGCCAAAGTGACTCCAAGTCAAATGAGTGAAGGAGGCCGTCGGTGCTGGTACTCATACGGAGCCCGCGATGCCTTTACACGCAAAGTCCAATCTGAAAACCAGAACAACCCTGCCTTTAAAGACAGGATATTGAAGCTGAGCCGGGTAGGCAGCCCTCCCCGGTCCTGTGTTACCTGGCCTGATGGACACTCTGTGAATCCTGAAACCAGCTTGCTCCATTTTGCAAGACCGTCCTTGTTGTGTTTTTCCTGATGGTACTTTACGTTAAGGAAAGGACCTCAGTTTCATCTGGAGACCGATGTCGGAGTTAACCTTACCAATGCGATCTGATTTTCATGACAAAGCTCCAGGGTAATCCTCTGATACACAGAAAATTGTGTTTCTATGAAATGAGGCATGATGGCAAAATGAAATTAAATCAGAAGTTGAAATCCCAAGCATTGTAAGCATTCTCGTGCTTAAGGACAACCAGAGCATTACACGCTGAATTAGGTATATTGGAAGATGTACCTTTACAGGAGACTACAAGGGGATGTTCTTGCTAAATCTTATTTTTTTTTCCCCCAAATAATTTCCTAGAAAATAGTGTAGAAACACTATGGTGGGTTTTAAAATGGGTTGATTCTGTGGTTAATTCCTGAATGAAACCTGCCTCGTCTGGGAAATCTTGAAAAAGTTGCTTAAACTTTCCAATTCTCCATTTTTTTTCATCTTCAAAGTGAGGTAACACCACCTATGTATACCAAAGAGCTGTTGTGAGGATAAAAAAAGTAATATATGTGTATTAGTTTCTGATTGTTGTTATAACAAATGACCACAAATGTAGTGGCTTAAAACAATACAAATTTATTATCTTACAATTCTGAAGGTGGGAAGTCTGCAGTGGGTCTCTCTGGGTTAAAGACAGGCTTCTGGCAGGGTTGTGTTACTTTGTGAAGGTGCTAGAGGAGAATGTGTTTCCTTGACTTCTCTATCTTCTAGAAGCTGCTAACATTTCCTTGGCTTGTGGCCCCTTCCTCAATCTTAAAAGCCAGTAATTGGTTGAGTACTTCTCACATCCTCACATCTCATCAGTCTGACCTCCTCTTCTGTCTTTTTCTTCCACTGTTAAGGACCCTTCTGATTACACTGGACCCACCAGGATAACCCAGGATAATCCCCCTATCAAGGTCAGCTGTTCAGCCACTTTAACTCCACCTGCAACCTTCATCCTCCGTCACCATGTAAGGTAATATACTCACAGGTGGGGATTAGGCTGTGGACATCTTCGGGGAGACATTACCTTGCCTGCCACAATATGTAAAGTACCTATTTAGTTCTACAACTTTTCTGTCATAGAGCTTTTCTTTTTCACTCAAAACAGTAAGCTCAATTTTAAAGAGTGATTTCAGTGCTAATACAGCAAATAAGTTTACCTCTTTGTGTTGAATGCCTTCATCAGTTCTGGAATTTGGGAAACTTCTCCAACACCCCCATTTCACAGATGAGCAGCTGGGGTCCAGTGGCTCACACGGCATTTAGTGACAAATCCAAAATTGGATTCTGATGTCCTGCTCCGAGTGAACTGGTGTCTCTTCCACCCCATCCTACCTTCCTGAAGGCCTTAAGAATTATGCTGCAAAAGTGGTGACTCCCCCCTAATTCCACAGAGTGGGCTGATCTGCAGCAAGGCCTGGCATGGCTGATCAAAACATGTACATTTCAGGCAAAACCAATAGAAAAGACCAGTACTTAAAAAAATTTCCAGGGTAGAAAACGAGTTTGATCAGAATTCAGAATATTTAATAAAAATTCTGTCATGTATAGAAAAGTGCTTTGGATTTCTCCCCTGTATCTTCAAAGGCCTTCATACAACGAAACCATATCCATCAAGTTTTTTTTTTTTAACATCTTTATTGGAGTATAATTGCTTTACAATGGTGTGTTAGTTTCTGCTGTATAACAAAGTGAATCAGCTATACATATGCCTATATCCCCATATGTCTTCCCTCTTGCATCTCCCTCCCACCATCCCTATCTCACCCTTCTAGGTGGTCACAAAGCACCAAGCTGATCTCCCTGTGGGTAAGCTGGGACGAAGTGAGAGAGTGGCATGGACATACATACACTACCAAATGGAAAATAGATAGCTAGTGGGAAGCAGCTGCATCCATCAAGTTCTGAAGGAAAAAGATGTTATCCAAGATCCTATGGCCCCAGAAGTTGCCATTTGTACATGAGGTACCTGAATGATGTTTTCAAAAACCACACAACTCTCCCTGAATATATCTGTTGAGGATATACTTCAACTTAATGAGAGGAAAACATTGTAACAATTTAATAAAACTCATTAAAAATAATAACCAACTCTAATATCACAGATGACACTAAGAAAAACTGGGTAGTGGGTCTGGATAAAATGTGGGAACAAAAGACTACTTATATCCTCATTTTATTGATACATAGAAGCTAATGAGTAAATAGTGCTTCATTTTTTATGTTGATAGTTTCAGAAATATTGATATGAGCATTTAAACAACTTAAGGAAAATTATTAGTAGAATTTAAAACAGAATCACTAGAGGAAAAAAAGCAAAGAACACATACCTATATTAAAAAAAAAAAACTTGCTAGGGAAAACACAGGAAGACTTATTTTTAAAATAAGCATAAAACAAGATAAAGACAATAAGCACAATTACGTCAGTAATAATAACATACACTCTTCACCTAAACCACCATAGTAAAAAATACCTTCCCTCAAATAGTGAACGAATCAAATTCAACCTAATGTTATCTAAAAGCTTTAACACTTTAAAAAAACTGAGAGGTGAGTATTATTAAATGATTAGGCAAAGATACAGCAGCTAATGTCAAAAAAAATTAAAATGAATATAAAGAAAGAAAACAGGGGTTGCCATATTCTTTTCAGACAATAAAGAATTAAAAGAAAAAGTTATTTCTTGGAATAGTTACATTATTTTGGTAATAATAAAATCCAGACAAAAAGCATAAAAGCCATATAGTTTTATGCTCCAAATAATATTCTTTAAAATACAGCAATCACACACTATCAGAGGCACAAAGAGAAGTTAACAGAAACACAGGGTTAGTTGAAGACTTTACTACACTTTCCTCCATCTCTTACAAATATACACAAATATAGATGCCCCATGGGAAAAAGGGGGGAAGAGAGAAAGAGGTTCAAATAACAATATGATTGATTTATTTGGTTTACAGCAAAAGCTGTGTATTAAGAAGAACAGGAAAATATATTTCCTATAAGTTTACAATGAATTTTCAAAGTAGTACTTATACATTATGCTATATATGCTCATAAACTCAAAAACACACAGGTCCAGATTCTCGCACCAAAAATGATTGCAGTGAAAATCAAACTCATCATTAAGGATTATTTAGAAAATAATGAGAGTGAAAACAGAATCTGTCAAAATATCTGGAATGCTGGCAAAGTTATACACTAAAGCAGATTCATAACATGTTAGCCTTTTATTAGGAAACCAGAAAGAATGAAAATTACTTGTTCAGTTAAAAAATGGAAATACAAAAAAAAGACTTAAGTAAAACAAAAGGAGCAAAAAAATAACAGCAGAAATTAATGAATTAGAAAACATATAAATACTAGAATAAACACTTCTAAGATCTGGTTTTGTGTAGAAAAAAAATTACCCATCAAACGGTTTACAGGTCTAGTGAAATAGAAAACAGAAAATATAAATATATAAAATTAGAAATAAAAAATGGACATGACCAAATATGTAAGTAAAATTGTATAAAATCTTATTCTGACAAATTAGCAAACTGAGTAAGCACGATGATTTTTGAAGAAAATATAAAGGATGTAAAAAGCTGAGAGGGGGGAGACAAAGCATCTTACTAAAAGGCAATTAAAATGTGCCATTCTTTGTTGAAAAAGTGTATCTCCCTGAGTAATTAGCATCTATTGTGCATTGAACAATGGTTTGTTGGCAGAATTCTATTACATTGGTTGTAGGTGGCCATCCTGTAAAGTGAATCAACATAATGGGGAGTTCCCTGCTTTAAAAAAAAATGTTCACTTTCGCAGGTATCTGTCTAACTTAATGCTGTGACAATATTAATGATTAAAATTTTAAGCAATTTTCAAAGTCTTTCCACTGAATTCATCACAGACTTGCTGAAGACTAAAGAACGATCAAGGCATGGTAAGGGGTTCCTGCAACCATTTTTACTGTCAGAGGTCATCCACTTGCCTTGAAACCCAACACTGTGCCTTACTTAGGGTTGGTCCTCCATAAACAGGAGCTGAGCTGAAGTGTATGAGTGAGATGCTGAATGAGAGGCTCTGACAATAAAAAGTTGGATGTCCTTTCATCCCGATGAGACTCAGTTTCCTCATCTGTAATCTGGATAACATGACACCTGTTTTAATGTGGAAAAACCTGTAAACTGCAATGGACCGTGACGAACATGGAAGGAATCCTTCTTTAGTGCATTTAGAACCTTCCTGAGCCAGCTCCTTCTGACATCTTCATCACAGAATATCTGTGACATCACCTAATGTACTTAACAGTTGGTCCCTAAAACTGAACTGAAACTCATTACTAACATTCTTATTTTGTTTTCTCTGCTGATTGCACTCACCTACTTAGCTACCCCTTGTTCACTATTCACCAGGGGATGGGCCATCTGGAATGATTATTTTATCTCTTATATACCCAACAGGAGAGTAGTTAAAGCTCAAAACTTTATGTGATGATTCTTTCATCCTTAGTCATAACCCTCTACAATTGCTCGAGAGTGATGGCTATAGAGCCCATAAGTGTGAGATCACTCCAGGCCACTCTTCTAACCTCTAAATGGAGTCAGTCCTGAGGGATGGATAGAATTTCACTGTTTTCCCATTTCGTTTGTATAATGAAATCATTGTTTGGCCTTCGTTCTGTACTTTTGCCCTTTTCGGTCTTAAGGTGGACTATTCAGTAGCCCCCTCCAATGTCTATAGGAAAACTAGGAATTTTAAATGGACTCTTATCAAATTTCAAGAACTTGATTTTTTTTCCCTTAAATATAGCATACCAAATAAATTCCCTAGCTCACAGATAACATATTATACATTTGTCATTTGTTTACTTGTATTTATATGCACATAGAAGTGAATGGATGTATAAATCTGTAATGTGTGAACTTGACAAAATTCAAATCATCACCTGAAAATGAATCACTTATTGTCACTAATCAGGTCATATTATCATATTATTGTACTGTGATCATATTTACGCCAAAGAGCACCAGAACTTTAGCCTTACCTGGAATCAGCTGAGGCCCTTGTTAAAATAGATATTAGTAAACCTCACCCCAGAATTATTGAATCAGACTCTGGTTATGAGGCTCAGAATTGGCGTTCTTAGAAAATATTGAGAAAGCACTGAAGTGGAGAACTTGATCAGCCTGGTTCCTGAATGACACCTGTATTTCCAACTCTTTTATGGGGAATCTAATGTTTATCCCAGAGTCCCTAAAAGGACAAGCTCCCACCTAGACTTTGTTAACGTAGTTCCAGATGGCAGCTTCCAGACACAATCTGGCTTCATATCCCACCCTCAGAAGTTGGAACCTATAGGATTTCAGGACAGTTGGGATCTTCTCTGTGATGGAGCAAAATGGTGGGGTTTTCCAGTAACTCTATTTACCATCGGCTTTGTGCTCTCCTTTTTCCCTAAAAAAAAAAAAAAAAAAAACCTTTATTTGATCACCATTACATTTTATTTCCCTGAAACAAGTTTTACTGACATCTCATCTCATGAAATTTAAGGCAATTCTCCAGTTTGAGATATCATTGACTATCCTAGAAATGGTGGTCTAAAATCACAAAGATTGGCTGTGATAACTAGAAAACTCCCACATAGAGTCAACAAATAGTTGCTGGATCACCACATCCTCTATTTCTCTTCTTCATCTATCAACCCTTTGGAAGAAGAATATAGCATATTCACGGGAGTGAAGAAAGCACTGCATTTTTTCTGAATTTAGCCAAAATGTTGATACTGGCCTGAGGCAGAAACAAAATGGGAGACCTCTATCTAACCAGTCATTCATTATTCTCTATTCTCTACTTTTTTAAAAATTTTAGGATGAGAAGTAATTTAAACAGTCATATGCAATTGTACTCTCTGGAGTCCACTGAGTCCATGCGACAATTCATAACCATTACCTCACCAACACAAGACATTTCTTTAGAGTGGTGATATTATCTTACTGACCCATCACTTCTTTTCCCCAGCAGTGACTTGCCATACGACCTTGGGTGAGTAACTGACTATCTGTGGCCAGGAGCTCGTATCTATCCCAGTGTACGAAGACGAATGACTTACAACAAGTGAGGATTTGGGGACTCATAAATGGAACCCAAATTTCACTTAAGTAACAAATAGAGACACTAGTTAATGCCTATAGAGGAAGCTTTCCTCTAAGATATGTACAGATAGAGAAGAAGTTGTCAATCTGTCTGGCTCCAGATGTATCCATCCATAACCAGTGAAACAAACTTAAGTCCAGGAAAAAGGAATTTGTTTCTGAGTTGGAACTTCATTTCAGTGGCTATGGAAAGGAATAGCTAATAACAGCCTTCTCTCTCTTAATATAAATCAGTAGAATCTCTTGTATGATGAATAAAAATTAGAACAGCTCTAGGAAGCACATACATGTCAGTGTTGTCCTCTAGGTAATACAACACACACACACATTCACATCCCACCTATTTTTATACACACCTGCACACTTACAAATTTGGCACCATGATGGCTCAACCAATGTATCTGAATCATCCACACAAAAAATTGATTTTAGTGCAAGTACATTCTTAAGAAAATAGTCATATAGCCAGCTACTTTCAACCAGTGCTTGGAACTGAGTATAACATTTCTCTTTAAGTTTTAGATGTCCTAATTCAAAAGAAAAGTGTAAAG